CAGGTCTGTCTGTGTCCAGTTTCTATGGCCAGGCTGTTGTCACTGAGCCTGTACTTCGTCAGGGTCTGTTTCTCTTTGCTGTGTCTCACCCTGGTTTGGTACTCAGCCAGTGTGTAGTGTCGTTTTAGGGACCAGTACCATTCCAGTTTGTGCTGTGTGTGTGTGTCCCAGTGTGTGAGATATTGTTTGACCTGTGCTGTGATGTGGTTGAGTTGTGGTGCTCTAGCAGTGCTGTCCCGAGGCTGGCTGGTGTCGGTGTGGCTCGGGCCAGTGAGCTTCAGAACCAGCTGCCTGGGTCACTGCTTTTTAGATGTAGCCGATACTTTATTACTCTTTTCTGCAGGTTGATCAACAGTGGGTATTTGCCTTGCATGCGTTGTTTGGAGTTTTTTTCTTCACATGAAGGATGTTTTGACTGAACTCTGTGTGCAGTAAAATGGGGGTGTTTTTCCCATTGAGTGTAATCCTGGTCTGAGAGTGGACCCCACACTTCACTGTTACAGTATATGGAGTAATGGGTTGGATTTCACATTCAAATATTTGCATTTCAATGGGGGGGGGGTTGATGTTGTAGAGCCTCTATCTAATGGCATAGAAAGCCCTGTGTGCCTTCTCCTCCAGTGCCTTCACTGCCAGGCCAAAACTCCCAGATGAACTGATGGTCTCTGTCCCTGTCCCTGTCTCTCTCTGTAGACAAGGTGGAGGATGAGCTGGAGATGACGATGGTCTGCCACAGGCCAGAAGGACTGGAGCAGCTGGAATCCCAGACCAACTTCACCCGCCGAGAGCTGCAAGTCCTCTACCGCGGCTTCAAAAATGTACCTCCTCTCTCTCTGTGTCTCCTGTCTGTATCTCCTTCCTCACTCACTGTTTCTGTCTCTGCATCACTCCAGTCCCTGTGCTCCCCTCTCTGTGTCTCCTGTCTGTACCTCCTTCCTCACTCACTGCCTCTGTCTCTGCATCACTCCAGTCCCTGTGCTCCCCTCTCTGTGTCTCCTGTCTGTATCTCCTTCCTCACTCACTGTTTCTGTCTCTGCATCACTCCAGTCCCTGTGCTCCTCTCTCTGTGTCTC